AGGATTAATTATCTCGACTGAAACTACGACCTGAATTGGAAACACGTAAGACGTGTTCCCTCTGAGACTACAGTATTCGTTAATCTGTTTAAATAACGAAACATCTCTCTAGGGATATAATGTGAAGGGGAGGAAGGAAACTAGCAATGAAAAGATTAAATTCTATATTATTCGATGCTGCTTATGAGAATAAATGAAAATCAATGCATACAATGGTTAACATAATTGTAATAATTGTAACTGAATATTTTGGAAAAATAATTAATAACAATCTTTAAAAAGTTATTCTACAAAAATTGAACGTGGATATCTTCGTTGATCGACATTTACGTGACAAAAATTACAATCGAATTCAAACGAGCTTGACTTTTCTTTTTTAATTTTATTTAAATTCTCTCTTCTCCTTCCCCCCCTCTTTCTCTTTCTCTTTTTCGTCGATTTTGAAAATTTCTTTCCTTCTTTATCCGTTTCTCTGACCCACAATCTCCTCACTTTTTCTCTCTTCAAAAAATTCTTTTCAATTTTCCTTTTCGATAAAGCGAAATTGATGAACTTTTTGAAAGTAGTAAGTATAGGTATCTTCTATGTATGTATATATATATATATATATATACACGTCTAGACAGAGTTTTACGTGGGCAACAGAGTCAAAGCGGAACAACGAACTCTTTCTCTTTCTTATTCTCGTCCAGCGAAAGGGTGCGGTTCTCTTCTGATACAGGAACCTACGTACATACATACATACATACATACATACACACACACACATACGTATATATATATATATATATATATATATATATATATATATAGTATACGTTCGTACATACGTGACGCGAACGAGTCTTGCGCTAGAACGTCTGCTAAACTAACCTGCTTGGAATGCGGCACGAGGGCGGGATGGCAATGCAAATTTATTCAAAACTCGAAAAAGCCCTCGGCTCGATTCAGCTTCCCCTTCTCTCTTTCTCCCCCGCTCTCTCTTTCTCTTTCTCTCTCTCTCTCGTCTTCCCTTTCTTCTTCTCTTTCTCTCTCAAACTTTACCTACGCTTCCCTTTTTCTTTCTTTCCCCCTTTATCCCTCCCTTTCACCCACTCCTCTATATACATACACATACATATATATATATATATGTATACATATATATACGTATACATGTATACACACACACATCCACAGCTTTCTCTTTCACCCTTCGTATTTCTTCTTTGCCACTACTTTTCTCATACGTCGATATATACAAGACTTTTGAAAAATCATAGTAAAAACGAGAACAAGGAGGTCTTATGAAAAAAAGAAAAACAAAAAAAAGAAAGAAAAGATAAAAAGAAAAAGAAAAAGAGATTAACAACATCAGTTCAAATATACTTGACGCAAGAACAAATATTTCATTTTTTAATAAACTTACATTTAGAAAAATGTAAACGTAAGATTTCCAACAAACTTACCAGAAATATATGTACGTAGACACATACATACATACATACACACACACATACATACATACATATATATATATATACATATATATATATATATATATATATATATATATATATATATATATATATATATAAGCAAATTATATACGGAGAATGTTCTATGTTAAGAGAAAAGACATACCCAAAGAATATCAAATCAGTTTTAATTCTTTATTAGATATATTCCGATGGTATTTACTAGTGTTAAAAGGAAGAAATTAGGAAGAAAAAAAAAGGATAGGGAGAAATAAAAAGTACATAGGGAAATGTCGTTGAAAAAAGATGCAAATGAGATTGCCGGCGAGCGAGACATAGTCGGTGACATCTTCGAACAACCCCGTTTTCATCTCCATTCTTTCCTCTCTTTCCTCTCCTTCCTCTAAAGTCTATAGCCCTCCGAAAGTCGAGTAACGAATCATAAAGATAACAGGATCCTCGTACCTCTCAACTTTTATTCCGGGGACATATTGCCCGACAATCATTCCGACATTTGCATAATTATCGAATAAAAAGGATAAAGATAGACAGATAGACAGACAGAGAGAGAGAGAGAGAAAGAGAGAGAGAGAGAGAGAAAGAGAGAGAGAGAGAGAGAGAGGAAGTGGCAGGGTAGCAACCCCGAAACATTTCGAATGGTATTTTGTTGGCAGTGCGGCTAATTTTGCTGTTCTTCACTTTTTCTTTTTTTTTTTCCTTTTGCCCTTCTATCATCCCTTTCTTTCCTTTCGCAAGAGTTCCTTTTTTTCCTTTTTGCTCTGTCTCTATCTCTCTGTCTTTCTATCTCTCTGTTTTCATCTCTTTCTCCGTCTATCTCTGGGGCAAGGAAGCTCCCTCCTTTATATCTCTTTCTCCCTTATTTCTCATCTCGCGCCTACGTAGCTCTTAAACTCTCTTGCAAGAGTCACGGAGTAGGACCCTCCTTCGTTGCGGCCGATTAGCTTAATGTTGTTGCCCATCCGGCTGGCCGGATAATTAGAATCGTGAAAGGCTATATTCTCTCTCTTTTACTTTCTCTCTCTCTTTCTCTCTCTCTCTCTCTCTCTCTCTCTCTCTTTCTTTGTTTGTCTCCTTTTATTTTAACTTATTCATTTTTATTTGTATATCCTCTCTATTTTTTCGTCATTTCTTTCTTTTTTACTATTCCTTCATTTTGTATATACATATATATATATTTTTTTTTCTTATAATTTACTATACTCTCGGTTATAAATCTTTGACGTAACTTTGTACGATAAAGAAAAGAACATGATAAATAAATTGAAAGGGTGTTAGGGGGAGAGGAATGGGCAGGCGGAGTGAAAAATAGACACTATTACACGCTCGTATATACACACCTAAAAAGACATGGTATACGTTCACCGGTTGGTTACTATTTTGCGGTAAGTCTACACGTCCGATGACTTGGCCGTGTTCCCGCGGGATCTTTTAAAGCTTTTTACCGTACACTTATTTTTCGTCTCTGCCCTTTCGTCAAGATGTCAGCGCCGCTAACGAGGAGAGTTTAAGCGGAGCAAAACAAGACATTTTTATCGAGAAGCGGCAAGGAACGTGGTGGAAGCGGTCCGCGTTACTATACCACACGAATTATGCTAAACACTTTTACGGAAGTCCCGACGGGATGGCAAAGAAGAAGAAGAGAGAAAAAGAGAGAGAGAGAGAGAGAGAGGGAGAACAAATGGGACATCTTACGAGCAAAAAATGCTAGCTTGATTTTCCCTGGGGTGGAAAGGTGGGGAGGTGGCGAAGGGGGGAGGGAGGGAGAGAGGTGAAAAAAAAGAAAAAAAGGAAAAAAAAGAAAATAAAAAACAGAAAAGAAAGGAAAAAAGAGAAGTTACAAAATTATTCGCTTCTCCGACATAAAATAACGATATTAAAATTACGAAACGAATTCTCTCTCGAGCAATCATTTGCTATAGTTACTAATAGACATTATCATCAACATCAACATCATCATCATCATCATCATCATCATCATCATCATCGTCATTATTATTATTATTATTATTATTATTATTCTTATTATTTTATTATATCATATTATTCGCATATATATCTATACCTATATCTATACCAATATCTATACCTACGGGCATAAAAATAAGATATTAAATAGGTAAGGGTGAAAGAAGAAGGAGAAGAAAAAAGAAATAAGGGAAAACGTCTAATTAGTGAGTTGCGAGCCGTGAGCCTCAATTAAGACGTCGATGCTTTCGACGGTCTTGCCGTGTGACTGATTTAATTAAGGGACCTTGCTCGACGCCTCGCTAACTTCACGAATATCGTTATTTTACTATTAAAAAAAAAAAAATATAATAATAATAAAAAGAAATAATATATATATATATATATAATATATATATATATATTTCTTGTTGGAAAGGGTGGAGCTTGTCTCGACCAATGAGCTGAGATCGCGTGCCTCCAGTCGTTACGAACCTGTAAATTGATAAGAATGCATCGTCGCACGCTGCTCGTGCAGCCCCTCTTTCTCTCTCTCTTTCTCTCTCTCTCTCTCTCTGTCTCTCTTTTTCATACATACATACACACAGACACAAGGACTTGGTGCTTTTAAAGCTCTCCACTTTGAGTCCGAAGATATCGGACACGGAAAGCCGTCGTGCTTCGTTACGCCGTGCTTCGTGCTTTTCAAATCTCTTTAGGCTCGCGCCCTGTTTGCGTGCTGTCGATCCACGCGGGTTAGAGCCCTTTGATTATTTCTTACGTGCGATTAGGCGAACAGAATCCGCATATCGTCGATTATATTTAATGCCCGCGAGAGAAATTCGAGCTTGAATAATATGTGTTAGTATGTATTTATGTATGTACGTAAAAATAGACTTGCTCGGTTTATTTTTATATTTCCTTATGCCTCAATGAAATCCAATAAGTAACTTGTTTCTTTCTGTTTTTTCTGTTTCTTTGTTTTTTTCTTCTTCTTTTTCCTTTAAATCAAATTAGAAAATCATTACTTTTCGATTATATAATACCTTTTGGTTAATAAATTATAAATTTCTTATACCTACTATTTTCCTTGGTTTTTTTTCTTTTTTTTTTTCTTTTTCTAATCTTTCGACAGATTTAGATCTCATGCAATAGCGCATTTTAAAATATGATCTGTATTAATTTCTTAACGTATAAAATGGTATTAATAGGGATGAAGGGAAAATAAAAAGAGACAAAAAATATAAATAAATAAATAAAAAGAAAATGTTTACGATTATTAATAAAATAAATAGGATACGTACGTGTTCGAATGATTTTCTCGTTCGCCAGGAGTTTTTCATCTTCTTCTCCTTCTTTTTCTTCTTCTTCTTCTATTTTTTCTTTTCTGTTTTTTTTTTAATTTTTTTTTTTTGCTTTTTTCGATAATTCTCATGCTTTGCTCACACGCATGATCGCTTCTTACTTTCCTTGGAACTTTTATCCACGCGACACGTATTCTAATAATAGCCGATATCTTTTTTTAAATTCCGTGGGATGACGTGCGACGACGTGGGACTCGGAAGGAGGGTCACTGTGTAGAATAACAACTATTTATTTATAGGTAATAATGCTGAATTACAATGAATACACTTCTTGCCTCGATACTAGATTGTATAAGTTCCGCTCGCGAAAAAATCGCTGGATTTGCTGATCCCGTCGTCGTGATTGGCAAAGTAGCGATAATTTTAATCCTATTCTCTCCCTTCCCCCTCTCTCTCTTTCCTTTCCCCCTTCTCTCTCTCTCACTCTCTCTCTCTCTCTCTCTCACTCTCACTCTCTATCCGAAATATTCTATTCGCATTTTCTAATCCGTTTTTTTTCTTTATTATTATTATTATTATTATTATTATTATTATTATTATTATTATTATTATTATTACTATTATTTTCTTTTTTTTTTTGTTTTTTATTTTTGGATCACCTCTTACTTATTCCCTCGTAAAAAAATTCATTACGATTTTAGCGTCGATCGTGGATCGAAACAATTTCGATTAAATATTAATTCATTTTCTTAGCTTAGAAAAATGTAATATATTATAAGTAAATTATTTATGATCGCTGTAGTTTGAAAAACTTTTTAATTAATTATTATTTAGATAATAGTTAATGAATACGAAAAGAGATATTTACAGACTTGAAAATGCTTGCGAAATTTATCTTGCTCTCTCTCTCTCTCTCTCTCTCTCTCTCTCTCTCTCTCTCTCTCTCTCTCTCTCTCTCTCTCCGTTCGACAAATTTTATTATATTCTTTATATTAAGATTTTGTTGATTTTCGAAAATCACAGGAGAATATTTTCCACGATCGAGAATAAACTTCATTCAGAATGATTTTCTTATCAGAAGAAAATTGTCGTTTCCTTTCTATTATCTCATCACTTCGTCGCCTTCACTTGCTTCTCCTCCTCCTCCTTTTCCTCTTCCTCCTCCTATTCCTCCTCCTTCTACTTGCCAATCAATCGTCTTAATGACGATGGCAAAGTACGGATCAGCTAATCGGTGGTTCTCTACGTGTAGCATCGTCTTAACGGGGCTTTAGCCAATTACGATCTAGACACTATGATTATGTGAACTTTACAACACAAGAATCTTACGGCAAAAGACTTTGTACATGGATCTTAAATATGATGGGATTCGTCCTTCTCCGACGAAATATTTCTTCGTGCGTTTTTTTATTTTTTCTTCCTTTTCTTCTTCTTCTTCTTCTTCTTCTTCCTTTTCCTCTTCTTTTTCTTCTTCGTATCTTTTTTCTTTTAAACCTTTTTTTTCACCACTAAATTAAATTCACCTCTTTAATCCCCTTCCCCTCCTCCCTACTCCAACCTTCCCTCCCCAAGAGACCCAGCTCGAATCCTTAACCATTCCCTTATCGGTTAACTTCGTGTGTCGCTCGTTTTATTTATCTTTTTTTTTTCCTCCCCCCCCCATCCTTCCATCTCCTTTTTCTCGTTCGAACGCGCGCGCAACAAACGTTTGATCGATATATTTATGTTTACGTTATTTATTTTCATCTCTCTGGTAAACGCACGAGAAATATTTCACCGTGTAATGTTCTTTTCAATTTTTCTTCTTCTTCTTCTTCTTCTTCTTCTTTATCTTCATTTTCATCTTCTTCTTCTTCTTCTTCTTCTTCTTATTCTTCTTCGGACGACCGATGCGAAACGCGGGACACACGCAATATGGATTAGACTTACTTGCTTTCGGTATTAACTAAGTTATTTATATATAAATAATGCGTTATGATTTTTTTTTTTTTTTAAGATGCCAGGAGAATCGATTCTCTGTTTGTCTCTCTCTCTATCTCTCTCTCTCTTTCTCTCTCTCTCTCTCTCTCTCTCTCTCTCTCTCTCTCTTTCTCTCTATCTGTCTTTCTTCGTTATATACTCTCTCGCATACATACGCGCACGCACGCACACAAACTTTTATCCTTTACAATACGATTCTTTCAAGATTTCGTTTCGACGTACGGTCCATTTTTTCTCTCTTTTTCGCTCTCTCTCTCTTTCTCTCTTTGCCTCTCTTATCGTATTTAACTTATCGTTACTTTTCTTTCACGATAATTTTCACTATGTACTCTCACTTTCACACACACATACGCACACACACACTCTTTCTCTCTCTCTCTCTCTCTCTCTCTCTCTCTGTTTGTCTTTCTCTGTGTCTGTCTGTGTCTCTTGTTATAATACATTACTGGAGTCGTGGCTCGTCACATATTTTATTATACATTAACTCGTCCCCTCCCCGGACCCCCATCCTCCCGTTTTCCCTTTCGGTCGTGATTAAAAGAAGAAGGAAGAATAAAAAAGGAAAAGAATAAAAAAAAAAAGAAAAGAAAAGAAAGAAAAAAAAAGACAAACAGAAAAGAAGATCAGGAGATTGTTTAAAAATCTTATCGATAAGGAGAAAAGAAAAAAAAAAGGTAAAGAAAAAACAATAAACACGAACGAAGCGACACGACTCGATAAAATTTCTATACATTCCTCTCTTTCTTTCTCTCTTTCTCTCTCTTTTCTATTTTCTCATTCTCACCCTCTCACCC